TTTTAAGACAGGACTTTTTTAAAATAGAAATTGTCCTAATCTTGGGAAAATATTGTCTGATAAAGAGTACATTTATAAACATGTTTAAGCCAGAATGATTTGACATTTAAATATGATTTCCCATACAACTACTTTAAGATCAGATCTCCATACGCTTCAAAAAAACGCCAAAAAGTAAGAAATGCTTTTTTTTGTACATGACTAAAAGGTTCCACGCTTGTTGACGCAGTTTAAAGTGTATTTTTCATACAAAACTAAAGGGATAAACAGATATTGGCTATCGGTATGCTCATCTGACAGAGCACCATCAGCAGCTGTCCTTTGCTCATCTAAACTCACTTTCTACGGCTGGAGCTCTCCACAGAGCAGATGCTGTGTTATCTGAGAGCAGAAACCTAATAGCTGAGTTCCACTTTCATTGATCCATCTGAGGGACGCATTCTGGCCATAAGCTGAACGACTCGCTCGCCTCACATCTTTAGGTTTCTACTCCCTCTTTTGTCTTTGTTGTGTCTGACAGCAGATGGAGGATGCGATGTGCCTACCACGGCATTGACTGTGTTTGGTTTTACAGCCTTGTTTCTATGGTAACCTGATGCAATCAGACGGGAGCCGCTCAGCAACATTTGCATAGAGGGATGGAGATACTTACTGCCGACGTCCAGCCTGGCGTTGCATGTGGACAGGCCGGCTTCATTGATGGCAGACAGCGTGTACCAACCAGAGTCGGACTTGGTTACTCTGTCTATGAGCAAACACTGCCGACCCGAACCGTCCTGGTACAGACTGCAGGAAAAACAGAAGATCAGAATCAGATATACTTTAATTATCCCAGAGGGAAATTACAGTTGATGATTGGAGTTAGAGATACACAGATGTTTGGAGGCACTTCAGAAAGTTCATTCTGCATCAGGACCAACAGACTGCTGAACTCTTTTGTTTCTCAAGCCATCAAGCTGTACAACTCCTCACATTGGGGAAGGAGGAGGTGATAGGAGGAGGAACAAGGGTCAGCACCCGCCTCCTTGGACATCTTATGCAAAACATTATTGTCACTCGTGCAATATTTTACTCTCACTGTGCAATAACACCTGCCAACTACTCTGGTACTACTGTCATTTTTTACTTATTTATCATTAAATAAGCAAATTTAAGTACATTTAACTCAGTACATTTCTGCAGCCCAAGTGCAATAATCCAAGTCAACGTCTTGTCTGTCATATTTTTTATCTTAAATGGCCAGAATTTCCCTGAAGAAGTAATCCCAAGGGATAAATAAAGTTGAGTCCAAGTCTAAAAATATATGAAATGTTCATATGGGGCCCCAGTAACCAAGCTGAGCAGTGAGTTTTTCCCCAGCAGAGCTGCAGCTCCTGCAGATCTGGCTAAAATAACAAAGCCTTGGTTTTGGTGATACGACACCAAGAGGGAATAAACAACACAACCTAGATATCCATCCATTTTCCATCACGCTTATCCCAAGCAGGGCCGCAAGCGGTGCTGGCTCCTATCTCCAGCTGTCTATGGGCGAGAGGCGGGGTACACAGTGGACAGCTCGCCAGTCTATCACAGGGGAACACAGAGACAAACAAACAACCATTCACACACACTGACACTAAGGACAATTTAGACAAGCCAATTAACCTAACAGTCATGTTTTTGGACTGTTGGAGGAAGCCGGAGTACCCGGAGAGAACCCACACATGCTCAGGGAGAACATGCAAACTCCATGCAGAAAGACCGGCCGGCAACAGAACCAGGAACTGTCTTGCTGCAAGACAGCAGTACTACCTACTGCGCCACTGAGCAGCCCTTAAAGCTGACATATTTAACATTAAAGGGGTACGCCGTTTTTTTACATTGGCCTTTGATTTTACGTTATTACACTTTATGTTCTACTCACCCATGTGAGTTTGTGTCATTTGGAGCAGTTCTGAAGATATTCCGTTAGGTTATATCCAAGTAACGTCTTCCTATGGGCAACAACTTGAAGGCACAAACTAAACTGTTCATAATTTATTCTTTATGCTACGCCAGCATTCATAACATGTAGGCGAATCACTGTCCCCCAGACATCCGCGGTTATAATTTTAATATTTCTATTTTTTTAAAACAAAGCGGAGTGTGTATGATGTCATCAGCGTGCGCCGGCTACCATTCATTCATCCTGTCCGCTGAACTGCTGCTAGTTTTACTCACATGCTGATTCAGATTAGCTAGCCGAATAAATAGAAGGGGTAGAGCGTAGCCGCCTGTGGCCCGGGCTGCCTGTTACAACTCCAGTCCAGCGAACAGATGACGTCATACACACTCCGCTTTGTTTTTAAAGAATATAAATATAAAAAATAAAACCGCGGATATAACCTAATATCGGAATATCTTCAGAACGGCTCCAAATGACACAAAACTCATATGGGTGAGTAGAACATGATGTAATAACGTAAAATCAATGGGCCGATGTAAAAACAAAAAAAAAAGTGGGAAAAGGAGCCGACACTCAGGAAGAGACCGTATATTTCTGTCTTAATGTTGGCAGTGGGCTTTATGCTGCCCTGCG